GCGTGAATCATTGTGAATTATAGCATGTGTTTAAGTTAAAGTAACTGTGGAAATTAAGTGTATTGCAAAGTAGTATTGAGAAAGAATAAACTAGTTTTACTTAAGAAAGGAATTGTATCTCTGAACATCTTCAGAAAGAATTTTTACGGGAAATTAACAAACGAACAGAGACGTAACAGTATTATTAAATAAAGATTTACATACATGTAACTCATTATTGCAGTAACCAGATCTAGGTAGTATTACTATATGGTATCATTAAATAAAGATTTACATACCTGTCTATCTGCAATTCTGTCACCGCTTTATTTGCCGGGCTTATATACAACAAAAGAGGGTGCCTAGAAAAGACTAGAGTTGCCAGGAAAACTCAAGATCCTTTGAGAATATCATGACGTGTTACCAGAGTCACGTGACTTCCGCTGTCGTAACACTGCCCCTTCCTTAGTATTGTTTGTCCCGAACAATATCCATTTATATTAAACCAATAGATAATTAACAATAACTTGTTTGTTTGTTTTGAATTTTGCGCAAAGCTACACGAGGGCTATCTGCGCTAGCCATCCCTAATTAAGCAGTGTAAGACTAGAGGGAAGGCAGCTAGTCATCACCACCCACCGCCAACTCTTGAGCTACTCTTTTACCAACGAATAGTGGGATTGACCGTCACAATATAAGCCCCCACGGCTGAAAGGGCGAGCATGTTTGGTGGGACAGGGATTCGGGTTCATTTGTATATTTTGAATATCAACACCAACAGAAGACTGCGAGTAGAGCTCCTTAACCACATGGCCATGCCGGGTCAAACAATAACTTAATTAAATGTACAGAATTTACAAACACAAAATTAAAATAGAACAAAGTCTTTTAATTTTACAAGATGTATCTTCTTCCATACTGGTCTCCATCTCATTGGCTTCTGCTTCACGTGGGGTTCATCTGCTCTATCAGGAAATGTTCCATTATCGGTAACAGTCACATCAGTGGTAGTAACTTCATTAATGGCTTCACCATTTCCCTTCTCTAAACCGAGTAGAGTTTCTTCTTCAACAGTGGCTTTTTCGGGTGACACGTCTTCAGCAGCGTCATTTGTTCCATTGTTCACTTTGTTCAAAATGAAATGTCCTGGACCATGATAATGCCAAAGCCTGTTGGCATGCACCACCTTTGGCTTACCTCGCCAACCACATTTTGTTCAGAAACTCACGTCTGAGAGACGATCCACTATGTCATGTGAGCATTCCCATGGAGAAGACAACTTAGGAGACTTCCCTT